ATGTGATCTCAGGAAAAACTGGCGAATTTCTAACGTGTTTGTAAGAGCCTACTTATTAAAGCATTTTCTTAACAAGCCCTTCGAGTGTTCTCGCGTCCTTGTTGAAATTACGAATTCCCTCGGCCAACTTCTCTGATGCCATCGCATCCTCATTCATTGCCCATCGGAACAATTTCTCATCGACAGTGATACGTGGAATCTCTTTTGAAGCAGCTGCAATGATGACGTTTTTCACATGTCGACATTGATCAACAAGATGCAAACGGTGTAATCAGACACAATGAGTGAAATTCCTAATTGTTATTTTGATTAGATGATCTATCAATAGAAAGTACAAATAGAAACGCAAGCGTATTTTGTAAAATAATAATTTAAAATAAACTTTTTTTGATTACTTTATTTTAGAAGATCCACACAAATACAACCACAACCCATTTTCAGATAATGGTTGTCATATATTAGGATAGCAGTTTGATCGGCGTAAAACCGGTATTAATCGTAACCAAACCGATTATGACCTTGATATAAGCCGCATTTTGCGAAGATAGGATTAATTGTTTCAAAGGCATGCTCAAATATTAAACAGAAAAGCTGTGCGAAATGGAGATTTTGAAAAGTGTAAAAGAAAGAAAGTAAGCGGATATCTTCTATGATCGAAAAATAAATGCAAGAAGTACGGAAGAAACACTTCTGAAGGAACTAAATCTCGACCCACCATCAGAGCTCTTCAAAGCTACGGTAACATTTTCCTTGTCTTCCGAAAGTTCCTTTAGCAGTTTGGGGCTGCAAACAAATTTGAGCTTGAACGCTATAGTACGGACAGCTAACCACACACACCTGATAGTAAGCAGATCGCATCCCATTAATCCCTTAATCTCTTCAGTGTTTCGGAAAGATGCGGCCATAACCTGCGTCTTGTATCCGAATTTTTTGTAGTAGTTATAGATTCGCGTAACACTCTAAACATGGCATGTTGTTAAGAATTGTACTGAACATGGGACAATTGACAACACAACTCACCTTCACTCCTGGGTCATCATGGCGATCA